GAGAGACAGAGCGTGAGTGGTGGAGGGGCAGAGAGAGGGAGACACAGAATCCGAAGCAAGCTCCAGGTTCCCAGCTATCAGCACAGAGCCTGATGTGGAGCTCGAACCTGTGAACTGTGAGATTGTGACCTGAGCCAAAGTCGGATGCTTAACCAACTGAGCCACCTAGGCACCGCTGTCCTATATAAATTTTAGGATTGTTTGTTATAGCTCTGTGAAGAATGCTGGTGTTATTTTGATCTTTTTGCTGCTTTAAATGCCTGTGGTAGTTACACTTTTTTTTCCTGTTGTTATTAAAGTTTATTTACTTAATTTTGAGAGGGAGAGGGAGAGAGAGACAGAGACAGAGACAGAGACAGAGAGTGTGTTTGTGTGTGTGAGTGTGTGTGTGAGTGGGGGAGTGGCAGAGAGAGAAGGAGAGAGAGAATCCCAAGCAGGCTCTGTGCTCATAGAGTGGAGCCAGATGCGGGCTTGATTGTGCACAGACTGTGAGATCATGACCTGGGCCAAAATCAAGAGTCTGATGCTTAACCGACTGAGCCACCCAGGCACCCTGAGTTACACATTTCTTATATGACCCCCAGCACCTACCACAGGATTTGACTGAGAACGGAATGCTCCATTCTGTGTCCAGTTGAATTGAATGAGATGTGTCAACCAGAATTCACCTAAAGATAATTTTCTTACGAAAATTGTAATGTGAGACCAGTTAAGTATTTTTGATTAGCATTAGTTTAATGTTATCAAATGTAAATGAACCATCAAATTCTTTTATTTTTATTTTAGGGCAAAATGGTGCAGAAGGGGACTTACACTGAGTTTCTGAAATCTGGGGTGGATTTCGGTTCTCTTTTAAAGAAGGAAAATGAGGAGGCTGACCAGAGTCCAGCTCCAGGATCTCCCGCTCTGAAGAATCGGAGCTTCTCGGAGTCTTCTCTTTGGTCTCAGCGGTCTTCCAGGCCCTCACTGAAAGATGGCCATCCAGAGGGCCAGAATGTGAGTTTTCCTCTTGCAGCACGGCCTGGTTGTGTCTGCTCTTGTGTCCTCATGCATCTTGAGTCCGCTCCGTCCCTGACACCTTCATTTGTCCCAGAGTAGATTCTGAGGTTCCAAGGCCTTGTTGCATGGAATGGGTAGAATTAATGTAGAATGAAGGGAGCAAGCCTGATTAGGGTTCTCCTTTGGGTGTTGGACGGAGGAGGAGCTTGCGGGGCTCAGTAGTGGGTGGACTGCTATAAATTCCTGGGGGTCGGTGGCTCATGCTGCTGGTAGGGCTCTTGAATTTACCATAGGTAAATCTTCCTTGCTCTGGAGGCCCCAGGCTACCCTTTTGCATCCAGACATTTAATTTGAAGTCTCCTCCAGCTGAGTCCTGCTGTGGTCCATGTTAAGTCAGCTACTTTTCCTATGTGGTGGAATGTTCTGCTGCTGCATGTGACCTTTGGTATTATTTTGCCCCATTGTCCGATGGTTGGTGAGAGGCCAGAAGTAGCATGTGTGAAGGGTCTGGCACATAGCAGACACTTTAGAGTTAGCTCCCATCTTCCTTTCTTACACAAGTTCAAGAACCACATCTTATCCGTCTTTGAAACCATAGAGGCCAGCATACAGCCAAGGACATCTTTTTTTTTTACATTTTATTTATTTTAATTTTTAATTTTATTTATTTTTTTAACTTTACATCCAAATTAGTTAGCATATAGTGCAACAATGATTTCAGGAGTAGATTCTTTAGTGCCCCTGACCCATTTAGCCCATCCCCCCTCCCACAACCCCTCCAGTAACCCTCAGTTTGTTCTCCATATTTATGAATCTCTTCTGTTTTGTCCCCCTCCCTGTTTTTGTATTAGTTTTGTTTCCCTTCCCTTATGTTCATCTGTTTTGTCTCTTAACGTCGTCATATGAGTAAAATCATGATTTTTGTCTTTCCCTGACTCACTAATTTCACTTAGTATAATATCCTCTAGTTTGATCCACGTAGTTGCAAGTGGCAAGATTTCATTCTTTTTGATTGCCGAGTAATATTCCATTGTATATGTATACCACATCTTCTTTATCCATTCATCCATCGATGGACATTTGCAGCCAAGGACATCTTTGGCTTATGTGAATCTACAATGCATTCTCAGTTCTCCGGATAGAAGTGCAGAAATATACTAGATCTCCCTTAAAAATATGCACAGGTAGTCCTCAATGTCCAAACTCTCACAGTCCAAATCTAGGGGCCTGGATGATTCTGGTAAGGGTTTGGATTAGTCCCTCACATTCCAGACTGAAGAATAACTCTTTGAAATTCAGGAACCAAAAAAATTCAGACCACGTGTTATCCATTGCTGTCCAAACTCTTCCTCTTGTTGTTTGAACTCCGTTTACTGTATTTGGATAATATTTTGAGCTCCTACTATGTTTTATGTTCCCATCATTTAGTGGCACAAATAATCTACAGAGATATCCATATCATTTTGTATATTACCGTGGAATAAGCTTCTGCATTTATACTTGAATTGGGTATGTTGTACACGTGCTGGAAATGGTTATGTTCTGCTTCAAACAAAATCACGCAGTAGTGAGTAACCTCGTACAAACAGTATTTCCTTTTTGCTGATAGATTCCTAGAAGTGGGATGGCTGGGCCCAAGGGTGAACGCATATGTGGTTCATCTAGATACTTCTATACCCTTCTCTGCAGGACTTGTACTATTTTGCACTCTCAGCGTGTAAGATGTGTCTGTTTTCTCATGGCTTTGCCAGCGGAGCACACCATTGACCTTTCAAAGTTTTGGGAGTATGGTGTAAAGGTTCGTCTCTCGCTGCTTTTTTCCCCCTTGCCAGACTGAGAATCTACAGGTTACAGTGTCAGAGGAGAGGCGTTCAGAAGGAAAAGTTGGTGTTAAGGCCTACAAGAGTTACCTCACAGCCGGTGCTCACTGGTTCATCATCATTTTCCTTATTCTACTAAACATCGCTGCTCAGGTAAGTAAGGACATTCATTTTGTCTTGTGGCCTCAGCTTGATGTTTACAGTGTGACTTCTACTGTATATATTTACGCCACTGTTACCGTATCACTCAGTCCACTTGGATTTGCATTGAAACATGCTATCTTGGGGAACAAAATAACTTGATGTTTACTGTGTTGTGTGTGCTCTTAGAGAGCTTCTAGAAGAAGAAGGATGTCTTTCAAAGATTTAATTTTTTTTTTTTAATGTTTATTTTTGAGAGGGAGAGAGACCGAGCATGAGTGGGTGAGGGGCAGAGAGAGAGAGGGAGACACAGAATCCGAAGCAGGCCCCAGGCTCAGAGCTGTCAGCACAGAGCCTGATGCAGGGCTTGAACCCACGAGCCATGAGATCATGACCTGAGCCAAAGTCTGACGCTTAACCTACTGACCCACCCAGGCGCCCCTCTTTCAAAGATTTTAAAATGTAACATGCACTTACTTGAGGTGTTGTTACCTGGGATGTGGGGTTTGGCTCAGACCTGAGCTGAAAGAATCGTGTCTGATTTCCAGAGCCTTTCAATGTTCCTTTTGGGGGAGTGAGAGAGTTGAGGTGCTAGGCGATGCTTGATATTTATGTTTATTTCTTTGTGCTAGGTTGCCTACGTTCTCCAGGACTGGTGGCTCTCCTATTGGTGAGTTGTTTCCGGTCTGATATGAGGTGCCCCCAAATTGGCAGGCAGCCTCTCTTTCCCACAGAGTCGGGTTTGTTGGGCCTCCTGTACTAATCCTCCCTTAGTTTCCCTAGAGCAAAAGAGACACTGAAGTTCTTGCTGGTGGAGTGTGACCCTCCCACGGTCTCTTCCCATATCTGACCCTCAGTGTCTATACACAGACAGTTCTGAGAACTGAAAGTGTCACGATGCAAGTTGAATTTGTATAAAGAGGATGTACATGGGGCCCTGCATGCTTGGGATCCTTTCCAGCACAAAACATGTCTCCCAAATTGAGGTTAATTTTTTTCTTTTTGTATTCATCTAAATTCTATCAATAGCTTAATATTTTTTCCCCCTTTTTCACAGGACAAATGAACAAAGTGCCCTGAACGTCACGGTAAATGGAAAAGAAAATGTCACTGAGAAGCTCGATCTTCACTGGTACTTAGGAATTTATTCAGGTAAAGTTTAATCATTCGGTTTATTATCCGGGAGTCTGAGGTGCTTACAATGAGCCTGTGTGAGTAACTAGGGCTTCCAGGAGTAATTCAGTAATGTCTTAACAGATTAAGAGTCTGAGTCGCATTTACTCTGCGAATTAATTAGAATAATTATTTTTAAAATCTACCAGAAGAAAGAGGTTGAATGAAGACTCTTAATTTGCTCTGTACTGGATTTTGGAAGTTAAACCAGGATTGAGCATTCAGAAAATCAGCCACTGGAAATATGTGGCTATTGTCTATTCTAATAGGTTGCTTTAGCTAAATCTTATATCATTATTTGGATGGGCAAGGGGATTAGAAACGGATCCCCACCCTGTGGTTCGGATTGTTCCAATTCTGTCTGAATAAACCCTGGCTTTTATTGAACTTGGATGAAATCCTCTGGCAGCGAGGTTCCCCCACATAAAAGCATTATTCCCTCACAGGTATGCAAAGCTCCGTTCCCTGCACTGCTCATCTCCTGGGCTTCACTAATGACTTAAGAGAGAAGCTGAGCAGGGAAAAATCCAGTGTCTGGGAATTAGGATTCCTTCTCTCTCTTACCTTGAGATCACAATGTTATCGCGTCCCCAACTGTGTGATTAATTTAACATTTGGCTTGCCAGACTAATATTAACACAGCGCTCTGCTTTCACAAGAGTGCTTAGAATATATGTGGCATTACATACTTTTTAAAGGAAATCCTCATCTGAAATTTTAAATATTCTCGCCGGAAACGCTCATACAAGCTTTCCGCAAAGATAGAGCGAGTGATCTTTGTGAAAACCTACTCACTGAAATGTGGTTATTTATTTCGTTGATCACTTGCTAAAGAACCCTGAATACATGAGCTGTTTCCCTTCCACACGGGTGGGCTGTGAGAGGCCCGGTGGCGGGGAGGGGGAGGGAGGAGCCGTTCTGCTGCACAGCCAGGTAGGATGGGGGCCTCAGGAAAACGCCTCTGGATGGCAGTTAGGACTCTGAGCAGCTTTCAGAGTGGAGACAACAGTGATGTGTCATGTGAGGGGTAAAAATGGACTTGATGGAGTATTACTCACAGAAGTTATCTCCCAACTCTCTTTAGCATGGGGAGTTCAGGAGATGATGGGAAAATGATGTTGATTTTTATGCCCATCATAGGTACTCATTTATGCCATTGACAAAAATCTATAATTTAAATCAGTTGTGTTCATTTAAAAAGGCTTTGTGTTTGTATAAAATGCTTGGTGTTGGAGATTAGTTGCTCACCGAGGTTATTTCATGCTAATGTATAATTTGTATTTTCTTGCACTTCCGTTGAGAGATTTTCTACTTGCAACTTAATATGGTATTTTCATATTCTTTAAAGCCACTTGGGCATTTTCTACAAGGAAATGGCACATCATTTCCCTTGTTCCCTGTTAATTCACATGCTGGTGTGAGAGCATACCGAAGTTTTAGATTATGAGATGTGTAAATAGAGTAGCAAAACTTGAAATGTGGAGAAGGGAAGATCAACGAGTTTTTGTAATTATCTCTTTTCCTTCTTTGGTTTTAATAGAACTTGTAATTGAATCAGGAAAGCCTAGTATGAAATTATCATTTACACCTGATTTTCTTTTACATACAGTTTCTATTTAATGAGAGAAAAGTAAATGATATACTTCTTTATAAAAGTATCTTGCAAATGCATTGCATTCTTACAGAAGCCACATGTCTTTTGACACAGAATTTCTTCATCAACTGCCTGCCATGCTATGGCTTCGCCAAAGAAAAGGTGGGGATGTTGTGCTCTGAGTGATGTTTCTTTATTTCAGGTTTAACTGTGGCTACTGTGCTTTTTGGCATAGCGAGATCTCTGTTGGTATTCTACGTCCTTGTTAATTCCTCACAAGCTTTGCACAACAAAATGTTTGAGTCCATTTTGAGAGCTCCAGTGTTGTTCTTTGACAGAAACCCAATAGGTAAGTCAGACACCAGGTTTCTTTGTAAATCTGCCTTGTTGACACCGTTTGTGTCTGATCACGTTTCAGCATTGAGAATGGAGGAGACGCTTGGAAGAAATCGCTGTGTGTGTTGATTCATTGTCCACAAAAAGCTTCACTGACAGTTTTCTACTACCTGACAAAATCTGAATGTGGGGTGCATACGAGCTTCTTTCTTTCTTTTTTTTTTTAGTTTTTTTTAAATGTTTATTTGTTTTTGGGAGAGAGAGAGAAGAGAGGCTGAGTGCTAGTGGGGGAGGGGCAGAGAGCGAGGGAGACACAGAATCTGAAGCAGGCTCCAGGCTCTGAGCTGTCAGCACAGAGCCCGATGTGGGGCTCGAACTCTTGAATCTGGAGATCATGATCTGAGCTGAAGTCAGACGCTTAACTGACTGAGCCACCTAGGCACCCCAGGTGCATGCAAGGTTCTATTCCGATTTACATGCTTGTGGAAAATAGGTTTAGGAATCTGTTGTGGGGCATATGAAACACCCTTCGTTGGATGCAGGAGCGTTTAAATGTTGCTGACCAGTTGCCAGAACATTGACTGCATCATGTGGCATTAAACTAGGTCATCCTGGACTTGAAGGTGTACCTAAAATTGTAATGAAAAATTAATTAAAACCCAAGATTGAAGTGTACACATCCTCTTCGATAGAAGCTCCTCACTCTAGCTTTAAAGTGGACTTTTGTTTCCATAATTGGAGGCTTTGTGGCACGTCGCACATAAGTTCCTCAACGTGAGCACACCTGGAGGGTGTCTGAGTGGTTGATGCCCCACCCTGAGGTCTTTGACATGTCTTGCTGCTGGGGGGTGGCCTCCTGACCTGGGTCCCCAGGAAGAGTTTGTTCATCAACACGTGCTCCCACCGTTCAGGCCCAGGGTGGCTTGGTTGATGCAGGAGAGGATTGAGGGGACCCATCCAGGCAGGGAGGGAGGCTGGAGAGAGCACAGGAGTAGGCTTGGCCTGGCTGTTAGCTAGCCGTGTGACCCAGGCCACAGGTGTACATACCGCTGGGCAGGTGACTCTCAAAGCGGGATGTTGTCGTGGTTAGAAGTGTGGACTGTGGATCCGGCTGCCTGGGCTCACACCTGTGCTAGCTGATCATAGTAGCTGGTTATGGTTCTGTGAGTACTCAGGTGCTAGTTACTTAATTTCTCTGTGCCTCAGCATTCTTAGCTGTAGAATGGGGATACTCTTGGTACCTCCCTTATCAGGCAGTGTGGGAATAAAGCAGATCGGTACATTCACACAGGCTAGAGCAGTGCTTGGCCCGTGGTCAGCACCTAATGACTCTTGGCCACAGTGACGCATGGCGTCTTGGAACTTCCTCACCTGTGAAATGGAAATGCCAGCTGCCCTTCCTGCTTCACAAGGCTGTCGTGAGGATTAAATAAGACTGTTCAGGAAAGCATTTGGGGCTGTTTATTCAGTACGTTTGTTTAGCGCAGGCCGGGTGCAGAGCACAGGAACGGTGATCTGCAGAGGCCCCAACTCATCTGTAGTCTTGTTACAGCCGCGGTCAGGAGACTGGAGGGCGCACGCATCTGACGGCTGGGAAGTTGCCGCACTTTGCCAGTTAATTTGAAAACTGTGGTCATAAAGTTGAGAGCATTAAGTGGGACTGCGTTTCTGTTATCACAGCTTCTGAATGCTCATGGCCACAGTTAACCAGGTTCTTCCTGTTCAAGACCTGTAGGCTTCTCCACATGCTGATTTATTTATTATTCAAGGATTTGGGACCGAGTCTAAATCTTCAAGGTCGCTAATCTTAGAGCCACACACTAGTGTTTATCTTGCTCTCCCCCTCCTGGATCTGTTAACAGGGCTTCTTTTCCTTCAAGAAAATAGAAACCCAAATAAGCACTCCAAAGATAGGCCCAGTTTGTCCAGAATGTTCAGAGGGCATGAATTATTTACTGTTTTTAGTGATAGATTAAAAAAAATTTTTTTTTAATTAGAAAAGTATTTTAAGTGGTAGATTTTAAATTTCCATTTGGATATCATTTTTATAGTTTTTAAACCAATGGGAAGAACACACCAAAGCTGTGCTTCATAGGGAACATCATGGATCGTATCTATATTTTAATGGTTCTATGATATTAAAAAAGCAATTCCCCTCTATAGGAGGGTAGGCATACTTCATTTTTTTTTAAAGTTTATTGAGAGAGAGAGGGAGGGAGGGAGGGAGGTGAGGGGCAGAGAGACAGAGAGGGAGAGAGAGAATCCCAAGCAGGCTCTCGTTGTCAGCTCAGAGCCCAACACAAGGCTCAAACTCCTGAACCGCGAGATCATGACCTGAGCCGAGACCAAGAGTCAGACATTCAACCAACTGAGTGAGCTAGGCACCCCTAGGCAGGCTTGATTTTTAAGTTAAACATCTGTGCCCAGTGATCCCACTCCGAGTTACAGAGTGCCCTTCGAGCAGCATGGAGAATCCAGGAAGCATATCATTCTCTTCTCAGTACTTTGTTATCCAGAGCACCTTCTCAGGGAGATGTCAGTAAGTTTCCTAAGAGTTCGTGGTCCTGACAGCATCTCGGAGTTTGGAAAAGAGGGGATGGGAAGGAGGGGAAGGGTGTAGTCTCCCGCAAGTGAGGCCTGGGGTGGCGACGGCATCTGCACACACTACAGCCTGGCTTGGATTTGCAGATGTCTGCCAGGGTTCTCTTCCATAGCCACCTTCAGTTCCCGCTTGTGCTGGAATATTCCCAGTGAACCCAATCCAGATTGTGGAAGTCTCTTTTTACATTTGTTCCTGGGTGTTTCCACCCCAGATGGGCTGATTCCCTTTTCCTGCTTCTCCCATTTTGTTAATCAGTGGGAGATCCTTTGACCTTGTGCAGAGAACCAGGCCTTCGGTGAAGGGTCCTGAAACACTGGCTGCCCCTTGCCCTGGCCCAAAAGTCCCAGGTTCTCTGACTTGGATTTAGGGAGAAGGACAAGGTGAACCCGGACAGTGCATGTTCCTTCTTGCTGGCTAAGTCTCTCTGGCTGCTCTTTAAGCACTCCAGAGCTCTGGTTTTTAAGAAGGCGGCATCTTTCCAGGCTTCACGACTAAGTTTCTCTTCATTTTGAACCCATGTATGGTTGCACGGAGTTAACTTATTTGCTTATATAATGCAGTACTGTTTTACCCACTGATTTTTTTCATAACCCAATCAGTCTTAAACTGGGTAAAATTTCAGTCAGCTAGGTGTGTTGTCTTAGAAGGGCAAAAAGCTACTTTTCTTTTCCTCTTTTTTCCTTCCTTTATTTTTATCCTTCCCTTCTCAGTGTATTTTGGTGACCGTATTGTGCGTCTGTTAAAGGGCTGCACGTTTTCAGCTGCCCCAGCATTTTCCGCACATTCTGATTGCAACAACTTGAGTTGAGTAGTGCCTGTTTAGATGGGGTCTGTGTGTATTCCTGTACTGAGGGCCACACCTGCCTCTTCCATGATCAACATTTGTCTTCTGTTCTTTCTGTTCTATCAGATCTTAATGCGCAGGGAATACAGGGAAGCAATTCAGAAATTAGAAGATTATGTCTATATTCAGCATAAACCATGTTTTCCTGAATTTGTTTTATTTTTTACGTCTGGCACAAGAGGGCAGCATGATCTATATTATTTCAGGGATATACTGTAAGGGCACCTTATTGCAAAAACCTATTTTTTTTTTTTAATTTAAAGCTTAGAAATTCCATTTTTTATAGCTGGAGTCTTGTGTTTTATAGTATTGGTGCAGAATTTTAAATCATTGCTGTAGTTTATTATGTTTGAGACATTAGACTCTTTATTAAAGAATTATTCACAGTGTTGTCCCAGAATATCTGGCGTTTCACACAAGGTTATGTGGATTTCTAAACTGGAATAGTACTTGGAATGGGTAGCCGCTGACATCTTGACTGGGTATATTTTAATTCCTGTGGGCAGAATATGGCTGCCTGTATGACCGGAGTCAAACATGAGTTTAGGGGAAAATATGACCAGGCAGTTTCTTCAGTTCCCTTCCACGTGAGCAGAATGGGTAGAGGTTATCTAGAATTTCACCCTTCACTTTGGAAACAAGATGAGTGGATAGTTGTTCTGTTTCTTCATGCCTAATAATAGTGACCTGACACTTGGCTGAATGAACTGACTGTAATGGATTCCAGATAAATAATTTGTTTATTTCCTTTCAGTGTGTTAATTCGGCTTTAAGAAAGTGGGCCACCGATGTCAGGAGATACTGGTGTTTGTTTATTCTCTCAGGAAAGTGCAAAGTTAATACTGGGTTGTGGCCTTTGTGTTCACCTCACGTGACTGGTTATCCTGCAGTGGTGTGTGTGTGTGTTCACTTATTTAGGCATCCGGTATAAGATAAGTACAAATGCATATCGTTATTTTTTCCTTACAGATTAAGTTAGGGCCAGAGTACTATAAAAGGAGAAAAGCAAATGGACTAACCTCCTCTTTTGTCAATTTTATTTTTTTCCGATGGAAGTTTCTTGTGCTCATTAACGTATGGAACTGAGAGACATATTTGTGTACCCCCCAATCAAAAATCTGGAATTGCTCAAAGGGATAGGATTTCTTTTCTTTTTTTTCCCTTAATGTTTATTATTTGAGAAAGAGACAGAGGGCAAGCAGGAGAGAGTCAGAGAGAGAGGGAGACACAGAATCGGAAGCAGACTTCAGGTTCCGAGCTGGTCAGCGCAGAGCCCCACACAGGGCTCAAACCCACAGACCGTGAGATAATGACCTGAGCGGAAGTCGGCTGCCTAACCGACTGAGCCACCCAGGCACCCCAAAGGGTTAGGATTTCTAATTTGCCCACATGTAGATAACTTCGCACATCTAAACTCCTGAATTGGGATATGCGTGAGTAAGGAGCTGAGGGTTGTGGAGCAGGAGGCTGGGAGAGGTTTGAACTATTGTTTTGTTTCTTCAACCTTGAAAGGGACTCCTCAGCATCCCTGACACGTTGTTCATAAATAACTTGTGGAGAAGTAAAA